TAAAAAATATATAATTATTTAAATAATCAATTTAAATAATTTCAATAACTTAAAATATACCAGATATTTAGTATAAATAATTTGAAGTAAGCCAGGTGTGAGCAGAAAAAAAAAGCAAAAGAAAGCAATACCTAAAAACTTACGGTGTAGACTTTGATTCACAAGGTTGACAACCTTCGGAAGGTTTAGTGAGAAATCTATAGCACACTAAGCTCAAACCCACCAACAACCATATCACCAATACGGATACTATTGCTATAATCACAAGCTGCGTAGGTCCAATCGTTGTACTCTCTGAATTTAATCGGTATCAATTTAATCATTTTACAATTTAATTGTGCTTTGAATAATTAGAAAGTAGTGTTATTAAGATGATACAGATGAGAAGAAAAAAAAATTGTGTTGTCTCATAAAGAAATAACCTACTTTCTCCCTTTCCTTTGTAAAACGATGACGCACTCTCATCCATTTGATGTTCCATATCTACTGGCATAACTTGATAAGTACCACTTGTTCTCTTAATATCGCCCCCAATATCTAATTATAAGACATCAAGTCACAAAAATATACTATAAAATCATTTGTGAGAAAAAATACGAAATAACTCGCGTATTTATATATGCTTTTTCAAAAACCGATGTATTATATGTTATTGCGTACAAATATATTAAAAATTATAACTTTTTAAATCGATCATTTCATTAATTAATTAACATTCTCTCTATTTCAAATACAATCTAGAAGACTGTTTATTAATATTTCATAACTGTAAAATAAAGCAAAACATTTCGAGAACCTATGGTGATAAGAAAATTATATGTAGCAAAATACACAGTCATTTTGATCTTCGAAATGCATCAAAGGGTTAATGGACATGCGTTTATATTTTACTCCCCTTGAAAGTGCACGATGAAATCGCACATGAATTTGCGCGAACACGCAGAGAGATTTCAGAGAAATGTTGCAGAGGACTGCAGTTTCTTAGCTATATGAACGCTTAAACGGAATAACATATGATCTCGTTAATTTTCAAACACGGCGAATCGCAGGCAACGAAAGACCGTCATAAAATATTACCCATTTCTCGCAAAGTAGCCAGTATTCGAAGGACACCACCGAATGCTGGATACCACTTCTCGTCGTCTAAGTGTTGACGTACCTGAAATGCGAAAAATGTTGTTTTTAGTCGTTTCAAAATTAAATTAAAATTAATCTCAAGCAACCGCATCGACAGTTATAAAATAGAAAAATAGAAAAGAGGAATAAAACATGATTTTTTAAATATATAAACTTTAAGATTTTTTCCCAAATATTTTATATAATTTATATTACATATATAATATCATTATTTCATCAATGACTTGCTCACAACGTACAGATTGTTCCAACCAGGCATAAAAGTCCTTGTTGAATGCTCGCAATCGCGTTTTCATACTCGATCGCGAAGTGATGCATTTTACGCTGGCGATGTAGTACTTGACGAGGGCGAAAGCTGATTTTTCCGAGTACAATGATTGTAGGCTGTCGGTTTTGAAGGGCAACGCGATGCTAGACAGAAAATAATGTGTTGAGGCTGTTTGATCGCCAAGGCATTCAAAAAATTACTATTCGATAACTACCTGTTAGGCTCTGCTTCATTATCGAGAAACGGAAGGGGTATTATAACTTCGCTTGTCGTAGCCTCGTTGCCGTAGCCTTGTAAAGTAAAATAAAAATTGAATAATAACTGATATTAATCTGTGGCATTTAAAATTAAAAATAAATTGTGATATAGAATTGCTCAGCTGTCGTAGAGAAATGTTTGCAAATTTCATATCAGTAATTGTTTCAATCTCATCTTTACTCTCTTTTTATAGAATAGGTAATTGTATTAATTTTATTTTATTTATGTAAATTATAAATTTGTATACAAAAATAATTTCTTTTTTTTTTTTAATATTCCTTGGATAGCGATGGCACTACTTTTAGCTTTTATTCGTATGTCAGTCACATGGAATATTAAAATAGTACACAAGTATCGTTTAAAGTTAAACTCATTCCTTCGTTCTCACCATCGACTGCATGTCTCGAATGTCCTTGCTTCATTATAGACCTTTTCTTTTTTCTGAACGTGAAGCTTCGATAATTACTGTCGTCATATCCAAAAGCTATTCTCATTTATTCGAAAAAACAACAAATTATTAGACTGATTTTTTCAACATTAGATTTAAATCAAGATGAGTTTGATATGCAGTTTTCAATTTGCAATTAGATTTACAGGTAGATATTTTCTCAATCAACAGAAATTCATGACTATGTTTTCCGCTTTTATAAAATGTCATGCTTATTGCTTACAAAATTAGGTATTAAAGTAATACATTTAATATCTATTCTTTTTTTATTTGTTTGGATTGCAAAAGATTAACAGTCACACTTACACGACGAATACGTGATAAGCCCGTTACAAGCGACCGACGTTTTTGGCGGTGTAATTACAATAGAAGGGATCCTGACATTCGTAAAATCCTTGTTAGGATTTGACCAACCAGCGCCATTGGTCTGAAGAAATATCTTCAGCTCGTCGTAAAGATCGAACAGCATCTTCGCGTTACGATACTTGATGTTACCCGCGTAATATGAGTATCTTGTGATGGGGAGGATGTAGACTCGCAAATAACCGCCCAGAGTATCTGCCAGAGCTTTCAGCATCAAATGCTTCGTTTTGCCAACGGACAGCCTCCGTACGCTTTCGAGGCATATGTGAAAATAGTCCATAAGGTGCGCTATGTACTGATCATTCTGAGGATCGATGACATTCACCTGGCGGAAAGGAAAATCTTGAGTACATTCCATTTCATGCACGATGCGCATGATGTATCATCTTATTTTTGTTATTCACCGAATATTAAAGAAGGATAAAATGATATGTTATATTAGTGCTTGAAATAGAACCTTAAAAAGATTCATGCTTTTCTTTGCTAAGCAAGACACTCACTTTTCATTGTAAAAGACTCGAATCTTTTAGACAATTTAGACATTTTCATTGAAATCCCAAAAAATATATAGATCTTTTTTATTACAAATTTATTTATAAATTTCAAAGAACAAAAAAATGCATTCTCTAGGAATTTTTAATCAAATTCTTAAATTTTTTATTACTTTTAAAAATAATAAGATACTGTTTCAATTTTTATAACATAGTTTGAATCGACAAAGTTCTTAGAAAATCTGCCTTCTTGAGTCTTACATTAGGTAGAATATCTTGAAACATTCTCCGGCTACTAAGAATAGTAAATTCCTCGTTTGTCCAGCATTGCTTTCTATAATCGTTTCTTTCAAATAAAACGGTACCGGTTTTTTGACCATGTTTAAAAGATTTAACCTCGATTATTCTGTCACAAATTGTATAAGATAAATAATAAAAATGCATTAAAAACTTCAATCCGTAAATAGTAACGCGATTATATAAATTTTACCAAAAGATTATTTCTTGAAGTATCAGTTGCACAAAAAATAAATTTAGACATTTCATTGTTAAATGATACGTATATATCTTTATTAAATACAACAAACCTTTCACAAATGTAGCCTATAAATATCAAGAGAAACCATAAGGAACATTTGTTCATACTCCGAAACAAAAATTCCAAATTCAACCGCGTGGTTTATTTTCACGGGTTTCTTGAATATTCCTGACAAATCTATAACGACTTGCGCCCATTATTATATCACAACTATTTTATTTCTAGACGCATGTTACTTCGTGTTAATAAAGCAATAACTTCAGACATGATTCCTTACTTCATAAACGAAAATTTATAATTAAAAAAGGTAAATGCATATGTATCTAGATTATTTTTATTTAAAAAAATATTATATTATAAAAAATTTTAGAAAAATCTAAGGATATAAATGGAATATGCCAAAATATGGGAGAATAAAAAAAATGTTACACAAGATAATGTATACACATAATGATTACATATATATTTACTAATCACGCAGATAAATAATTTCATAACAATACATGATATATAATATTAATTCATATGTATTATACATAGCATTAATTCATGTATTATGAAATAATTATAATTTGATTATCAGTTTGATAAAAATAGTCGTAATCATGTCAGCAACAATCAAATATTAAAGAATGCTTTTCCTTTTCTACTGTAGTCAATTCCCTATAAATTATAATATAGAACAAGAGAGAAAATAGATATATAAAGTGTATATGTGTATAATATACAATTGTCATTTATAATTCCAATCCAGTGGCGCAACACCCCAAATCGGGACCAGGTCTACCTCTCATATGTATGCTTATGATGCGCAGGTACACAGAGACATATGGGACCTACAATTTAATGCCGGTTTTGAACGGTTTTTAAGATGTTCTCTTGGCAATAGATAATCTTGGTGATTTGCCAGATCACCAAAGAGAAGCTACGAGCGCGTGAAAATCCTTCAATCTGCCTGGGATCGAATTCGAGATCTCTAGCATAGCAGTCTCGTGCTTTGTCATTTATAATTACTGTATTAAATATGTATTAAATACATCTAAGGCGCATTAGAGGAGCATGCTATTGCATCATTTTATCCTTGTTTTATGTCTTTCATTTTACACAAAAACCGCAATTGCAAAAATTTTATCTCGTCCGTGTTGAGTTTTACCACTCCCTCTTGATTGTCAATCGAAAGTAAAGTGCCGACGGCTTCACGATCTTCACCTAGAATCACTTTGACTCGATCGCCACGTGATGGTACCACAGGCTCTAATTGTTCACACACTAAGTTCACTACTCGATCCTCGGTAGGTAGATAAACAGTGCACATACCACCCTGCCACAAATAAACGTGTTACTCTTGAAAAATCAATGTAATCATATAAACATGCATATAAACTATCGATATCACAATAATATCTTTATGTCCAGACTTGACAAAATTACTTACCGAAATTCCTCGAATAACTGCTTGCTGTCCAGCGAGCGCAGGATCATCATGAGAATCGCGAATGCGAACTTCGATATCTGTCGTATGCCATTCTGAACTACCTATGATACCAGAACCGACACCTGCATCTATTCCTGAACCAGGCGTTTGTGGATTGTATGGACTACCTGGTATACCTATAAGAATTACAAATTACGCTATATATTTATATTGAGCATGAATCTCATATCGTTCATAATATAATTTGTTACATCAAAAATTTCTTAGTTAATTCTAACTGTTGCCCCACGTTATTTTCATTTAAAGTTTGATTTGAAAAATTAAAGATTGTACAAGTGTAAATGAAGTTTCGAGAATTCACATTTCACTTATTCAAAATTTGTTTCTGCATTTTAATACAATTATATAATACAATTATATAAAAAATCTAATTGAGTAGATTAAGATAAATATATAAATAATATATAATCATAGAACTTTATTTAAAATTAAGATTTGTAAATAACGCGGAAAAAAAATTAAAATGCAATTATACTATAGCATTAAATTATTGTAATATTGAGATCCTACAATAAAGATTATAAACCAGTTCTATCTCTATTTACATAAGATTCCATATATTACTTACCAGGTGTCATAGGACTATAACCTAATGGAGAAGGTGTCGCAAACGCACCATGTGGACTAGTGGTGTATCCGGTACCACTTGGGGATGGAGTAGCAACATAGCCTGCAGGACTCGGGCTTGCGGTAGCACTGCCCGCAGGACTAGGACTTGGCTGATATGAGCTGAAGCTTTGTTCTGAGCCGTACATAGTGCCCGGAGTTTGTGGAGTAAATGGTCCTCCAGTAGGAGGATATCCGGGTCCATAACCAGGTGAGCCACCCTCTTCCATACTATATCCATCGAAATCGTTCGTCCTGGCGGGTGTGTTAGTAACTGTTGGATCCCAAGCTCCAGATTGACCTGGTGTTCGCGAACCATCGTGAGATGGCGTCATTGAACCATAATGTGGAGTACGAGAACCATCTATAACATTAGAATTAAAGAGATTATGGTTTCCATATAAAAGATTCATTCCACATAAAAGAAATATATATGAAAAGATATACTCACTTTCGTACATCGGAGTTTGAGAACCGTGCATAGGTGTTTTTGATCCATCTCGTGCGTACATCGGCGTTTGTCCACCAGCTCCGTAAGCTGGAGTTCTATTATAGCTGCTGAAGCCACCATCCTTTGATGGGACGCCGACATTTGCTATATGAGAACGATCGACAGAGATCGTCTGGCAAGTCGAGTGCAATTCCACGCGTGCTGTTGTTTCTGTCGCATCTTTTACAATACCCACGTTTCCTTTGTATGGTCCACCTGTTATTTTGATAGTGGTTCCTATTAATTCTCGGTCGCGTCTTGCACCGCTACTGCCACCACGACCTCTTCCTCGTCCACCTCCGCCGCCTCGTCCAAAACCACCTCTGTAAGATTGAAAATACATAAGTAAACTTTGAAAAACTGTTAATGGTCGCGTTCAATACTCAATCGTTACGGAATGAATCTGTAATCCATTCACTGGTATCGGATGATTTAAAAGAATACACCAATAGCAGCGAGCATTTGGATTTGCTTCACAACAATTGAATCTACTGAACACAATTTTTAAGAATAGAATGAGAAGAAAAAACCATACCCACTAGGATGCATCGGAGAAGCAATTCTAGGTGACATAAATCCTGCCACTGGTGACATAGAGTTAATAGAAGTTGTTTTATTTCCACCGGACAACTGTAAATGTCTGGTCTTGCATACGAATATTCCACCGTTGTCGACAAACATTCTCGAGTGCAAAAAGGCAAAACTTCTATAAAGATGCTTAATTTCACCGCCTCGACCAGCATGCGGTCCATCAACTACTTTAACAATATCTTTCTTTTGTATCGTATTCTGTTGAGAGTCCAAGGCAACCGCATTTCTATTTTCGCGGCGTTTCGTAAGACCTTGTGGTCTTGCTTCAACTACTTTCCCATGCATAGACAAGACATGGAAATTCTCACGTTCCAACCGAACGATAACACCAACTGTCTGTGCATCTAGCTGCACCAAATCACCCCATTGAAATTGACCTAAGCTGTCGACACCAGTTGCCATATCAGAACATAATTGCAGATCCCTCGGAAGAACCTCGAGTTCGTGCATAGACAAATCGGAGAATAAAACTACTCTATTTTGTTCTACTCTAACAATTAAACCTGTATCGCCTTCATATCGTCCTGCTACAACCTAGAGATTAATTAAAATAGTAATGTACGAAAAAATATAATTTTTCTAGCATGTAAAATATAGTTTTCTATAATGCGCTAAATTTACCTTTACGTGATCGCCTTGCGTAAAATATTTTCGTAATTCTGAAGCTTGGAATTCCAAAGCTTCTTTAAGTTCTTCATGTTTCGGCATAACCATAATCATGTTCCCATCAATGGAAACAATTTTTCCCTGTAGATTTACAAGTTCACCTTCGCACACTTCTACATTGTCTCCATTACTAAAAGAGTGAGCTACAGATTGATCTTCTTTCCCAGAAGTTCCAGTTCCTGGCGTACCACTTAAATCTATCTCAACACCTTCTGGCGCTTCTTCAAATCTTTCTAATTCGGAAAGTGTAGGTTTAACACCCTCCGCGATAATAGCACTTGTGGTAAAATTTTTATAAAGAAAACTGCACAAATACGAAAGAATTTTAAATGAAATTATGTATATGTAAAAATATCGTAATAATATACAATAATAATATATAATAAAACAAACCCTTTACGACTATATCTGTTTCCTTCAAAAATAAGGAAATCTC